CAAAGGGATCCGGCAGGTCTGTAACCGGGATTTGCCCCCTTGAGCCTGCCCACACCCGTCGGGCTGCCCACGCAGGCGGTGCAGGCAGCACCCAGCACCCAGGCTTGTGCAACCGGTGTTTCCCTACCCGTAGGGCCCCGCGAGCGTGCTGAGCTGGGCCCCTGCCCAGGGAGGCTCAGCCCTTCCCTTCCTTACTGGGGCATTTACGGGAAGGCAGTTGCAGTTCCCAAAAGGGCTCAGCCCGAGCGTGACGGGGCACTTGTGGCTCCTTACTGGTTAAATTCCCTCCTTTACCCCCAAACCCCATCCCCGCTGTGGCTGCCAGCATCATTGTCACAGCTGCCAGCCTCCCTAAGAATCTCTGAGACCTCGCCTCACTAGTGGCCCAGCAGCAAGTTCGAGGAAACTTCTCCAACTTTTGCTTGCTCAGACGCGTCGCGTTGCCCACGCGATGCCCGAGGGCACCTTGCCCTGGGGACGCATCCTGTGTCCCAGGAACGGTGCAGGGCTACCAGCGTTTCCAGCTCCAGAAACGGGGCTTGTGCCAAGGCTGCTTGCCCAGGAAGGGAGAGCCCCGAAGTTTTGGCGTTAGGCGGTAATAAATCAGAGCAAACAAAGCTCAGCGAAGGGGAACGCGGCGGGACTTTCTCAGCCCTGATTATTATTCCGTAGCAATTTCCGTATGAGTTGGGGCAGGGTTTTTACCACAGTGAGTCCGGCTGCTCCGCTCCTCGGGCACACCGTGCTTTTGGTTTTAAAACCAAGAAAAAAGAAATAAAAATAAAAAGGGACGGGAATTAAAAGCTTGAAACTTTGGTAAGGAGAGGAACCACCGTCACCAGCCGGGTGCTGCCTGCGGGCTGGGATGGGGCAGGGTCCCCAAGGGGCTCCTGCAGCAGAAGCAGGTGGGGATGCGCTCGCTGGTGCTGGGGTTTGCCTCAGCATCGCTTCTCCACTCATGAGGGTCCCCATCCTGCCCCCCAGCATCCCCAGAGGAAAGCAGGGAGGGCACGGGGTGGTGCCAGCTGAGGTCCCAGCTCC